ATATATATATATATATATATATATATATTAAAAACAATATCAACAGCGAACGAAAAGGAGAATCAAGTGATGTGTTATTAATGACATACAATGATAATTTGTTTATATTTTCCCCATTAAGTGTAAACTATGTTTCTGTGATTGTGTATTCTTCAAGAAAAAGCAGGTATATAGTAATAGCATGTAGAGATACACGTATACAATACCTCTATGTGTCTGTTTCTGTTTCTGCACTCACTTTTTTTTTTTTCTTTTCGTTTTTGCAAATAATGGGAAAAGATAACATATACGATTATATGCATGTGTGTTTCTTTAAATGACGAATCAACAAAAGTGTCCAATAAAGAAACCTCCCAAGACAAAAAATAAAAAATAAAAAACACATTTAAACAAAATAATAATAATAATAATAATAATAATAATAATAATAATAATAATATAATATAAGTTCTTTCTTTCTTTTCAAGATGGAGTTCTGTGCGTCATTTACAATTTAGACTTTTCTTTTCCTTTTACATAATCACCACCACCACCACCCCTCATTATCTCTGCTTAAAGAAAGAAAAGAAGGTTTCATCAGATTGGTTTTCGTTCCTTCCCTCTCCTTTCAGTTTGTATTTACACTCCTTTTTTTTCTCTATTTATTATTTTTTCTTCACTTATTCACTCATTATGTATGTGTTGTTGTTTTTTTCTGTCTATTCATGTTAAGTATTAAAGCTGTATATATATATATATATATATTAGTTCCCCAACTTTATCTTTTTTTTTTTCCCCCCCCACTCTCTTTATCCAATTGACTCTCTCTATGTAATGTATGCGTGGATGGTGTGTAATAAGAGTATACACACATACATACACATATCAGAGGGTCCCTCACCACTGCAGCCGTGGATTTGACTCCCCATAGAAAAAGAAAAAAAAAACAAGAAAAAAAAAAATGTTAAAACAAGTACAGTTTTGAGTTTATCTTCTTTTAAAGAGTTTGGCCTATAGACACACACACACACACACACACATAGACGGACGCACCAAATTAAAAAAGAAAGAAGGGGGGAAAAAAAAAAACGTATACATATTAATTACGAATTAAAATAATGTAGGGAGGGGTGTGTAGAGAAAGGGAGATTAATAATAATAATAAAATATAATACGCTGCAGAACTCAAGAAGAGAAAAAAAGACAAGACAAAAGTAAAAAAAAAAAAGAGATACTTTAACAAAGGGGACCGTTCACTCAGTTATCCGTCTCGCGTGAAGAGTCCGTTGAGACTGTCGCCTCCCCCTTTCCCACTTCATGCAGCCAAATGCGACAGCGATAGAATGAGTGCAGGTACTGTGCCAGTTCCCGAAACAATACACGCTTCTTTGCCCTGTAGTAGACGTATATCTTCTTACAATCCGCTTGAAACTCACAGCCCAGAAACTCCATCTGCCGCACATTACAATCCAGAAATATGGTGGGATCCAGTTGCTGCTGTAGAAACGCCAACAAATCACTCTCAAGACGCGGAAGTGTATCCGTGTAGTGCGTCTGCTCTACTGAAGTCGCCCCACGCAAAATGACTGCCGCGCTGCGCACATCCCCATCCGCTGGAAAGCCGCGATTAGACAACTCCTGTGGGCTGAGACGAGCAAACTCATCCATCGGCAGCACTGTGTGCACGGCGCCCATTTCAATGCCCATGTCTCCTTCAAGTACAACCAACGCGCCCACTTCATATCGCATGGCGGCGGCGGCAACACTGCGACGACAGCGATGGGCAACAAGATAAACAAAATGAACTTCTGCATCCCGTGTTGAGGCATCGCTTTCATCGCATCGGTATGGTGCTCGTAGTTGTACGTGTGCGTGTGCGTGTTTGTGTGTGTTGGGACGGCGATGTGTGTAAGCGGCGAGGTCAACGAAGAGCGGTGCGAGGCGGTGAAAAAGCGGGAGTGTTGCCGGGCACCCATCGGGGCGTTGATCATCACTTTCACCTGCGCGGCGCACTTTTAACCGACGGCGGGGGTGATTGTGGTGTGAACTGCTGCGGGACTTGGAGTGCTCACTCTCAGCCGTGTGGTCGGTCTCCTCATGGGCCGTCATCATTGTATGATCCGTGCTGTTGTTATGGATGTTGTTGCCGTTATTATCCTTATTGTTTAAAGTACTGGTATTAGTAGTAGTATTAGTATTAGTATTAGTATTAGTAGTACTTAACTTAAAGGGTACACTTGTTGTTGCTGCTACTGGTTGTGGAGGTGGAGGTGCGAAGGAACGAATAACAAGGCGAGTCCCAGCTGGAGAAGGCACTGGACGACTAGATGGTATAATGGGAACAGAACTACTTTTCCAATTGTGTATTTGATCAATACCATCTGAAATTACACTTCCTGCTGATGCTGTTGTTGTTGTTGTCGTGGGTACATTGTAAGGATACATCGGCTGAAATTGTTGTGGTAAAGGCATTTCATGACACACTTGCCGGTAACCTGCATACATACCAGGATAATAAGATCCACCTGCGGAAACGAAGAAAACTGATCCATATGGATCTGGTGTGGGTGGAAAACTGTAAATGGAATTTTGAATATTGGTATCATACATGGAATACGGGTAACTAACATTCTCTACCATAGTCAAGGGTTCAGCTGGTTCCTCATTATTCTTATACTCTGGAAGCTCCTCAAATTCACTCACAGGTTCAAACTCTGCTTCTGAAGATGAAAAAGAACTGGCTGAATCAATAACTTTCATGCTATAAGGGTCATGCCGCCACAACACTCCAGGTGATTTTAATGAAGAATACACAGGGCTATTCAAATCCTCTGGATCAGTAACACTCTGCGCGCGTTCAAGTAAGGCATAAAATTCTTTAGTCATACTGATTGGAACAGCATAGGCCTTCCCATTTAACGAGCAAAAAGGTGTTCGCCGCACAACAGATGATGATGATGATGATGATAATAATGACTCTTTACCCTTGTTCTGGAGTTGTACAGTAGAATCCTTTACGTCTCTCGGTTGAGTATCTAATGTTATTTGTCCTTGAACTTTTTGTACGCTATCCTTAACATTATTACTCTCACGGCGACGGCGCCAACAGCACAAGCAGTTACACATGTCATAATCTTCATCTGTTCCGCTTTTCTTCTTCCATAAAGTGGAGAGGGGAACACCAGCGAGCGTCGAAATAATGGGCATTTGTATAATAATTAGATATATATATATTATTATATATTTATTAAAATACAATATGAACACGCCTATTATAAATTGTTGTTGTTGTTGTTTTTTTTCTTTTTTCTTTCCCTATAGGTGTGTCAATACGGGGTGTCTCGCTATGCTGTTAAATAGTACTACAGTGCTTTTTCTTCCCTTCTTTGTTTATTTCTTTTAGATATTACTGTATTGTCTCCAGCTGAACGTAGTCAGCTCCACTCCACTTAATATGAGCGTCTTTTTTTTTTCTTTTTTCTTCTCCTTTTGCTCTAATGTGTCACCAATATGTGAAGAAAATAAATCCAATGTGGTTGTATATTGTAAACACATGGTCAAGAAAAGAAGGAAAAAAAAAAGAAAAAGAAAAAAAAAAGAAAAAGAAAAAAAAAAGAAAAAGAAAAAAAAAAGAAAAAGAGAAGAAGAAAGAAAAGAGTTAATGTATGTCATGGAGAATAAACATATTGTTTCACTCCCCATAGTATTAAAGAATTTTTTTCTTTTTTCTTTGAGGAAAAAAAAAAAAATAAATAATAATAATAAATATAGAAAAGGCTATGAAGGTCCTTAACAAGAGGATTTAACCACAGTTCTCGTCCAATATTTTTCTTCCTTCCTCCCTTATGTTTCCAAACATCACACAGGCCATTTTTCCTGTTTTTTTTTTTTTTTGTCATTTGTACTCATTCCTTTCCTCACGTTCACCTTGGCGTGTCTTTCCAAGAATTCTCCTTGCATTCTATTTCCTATCTCCCTTCTCTCTGCAGAAACAGCAAGGAACATGGAAATAACACTAACAATAATAGAAAGGATGGATAACTACTAGTAACAAAGTAGTTGAAGTGGTGCATTAGACAAGTGATGTATCTCTTTTTTTTTTTTTTTGATTCCTTCTTTTCTCTTTCCCCTCTCCTTATTCCATCCGTTGTACAATAGCATGGCGTTCCTCAATATCGGTTTGTAGGTCACGCTGCCTCTTACGATCGGAGACTGTGGATTCGGGTGCTCCCTCTGGTGCCATTTCATCATCCGCACCAAACATAAGTACGTACTTTTCATATGGTGGTGCTTCTGCATTGGGTGCTTTAACAAATAATTTGCGAAGACCCAGACGCCGATAGACAACATGATGTCCATTTGCATTTGCAAATCCTGTGGGTATAGAACCTTCCCCTTGTACGTTACGCAGTTGAAATAGATAGCTACTTGTATTATTTTCATCCGTTACAAGTGACTCAAAAGTATTTTCACGTGATGTGTGGTAGCTAACAGTTATTCCGTCACTTAGGTGTCGGCTGTTCTTTTTATCAACCACTAACAGGTTGGTATCATTGACTAATGCGTGGGGACCACCAACCTTAGACTCCTCACTCACTACCGCACCAGGAAGCACTATATGGTGCAACTCTGTTTCCATCTCACCCAGTCGTTCAGTCTGAGATTGATCAACTGTTGAAATGGATGATGCTGCTGCTGCTGCCTTATCAAAATCGGCCGGGTATAAGGGTACTACTTCCACAGGAAAAATTGGAACAGGTTGACGATTCGCTGTAAACTCTTTGCCCACCCTTCGCAATGTTGAGCCAACCTGTAAATCAGGTTCAAAAGCACCTTGTTCAAAAGGATCCAATTCCTTTCCACTGAATTGCAGTTGTTCTTTACGCTTCTCTACGCCACCATTTAGCTTCGATGTGTACACTCTTAGGAGATCAACATATTCCTGTATTAATTCTAACCATACATTTTTATGAGGTAAGTTAAGGGGTTGCAATGATCGCTCAAGTTGCTCCAAAGATTCTTCTCCACTACCATCATAATTAGAAGAGAATCGACATAACTGATGCCAAACATCACGCTGCTGATTTTTACTTGTACTATCGAAGAGTTGATGCCATAATCGACGAGTAAACTTCACAGAAACAGGGTTATTGCTATCTAATCCAAGTTTTGCTCGAGCAACTGATTCGAGCAGCTTATCATAGTGAGAATCCACTGTACGAGCGAAGCGGAACGACTTACGCACCCCGTCAAGCCATTGTTCTGTAGTCTCCACTGTCGACTTTCCGCCAACAATACTGGTTTGTGTTAACCCTCCCGCTAAGGAGAGTTGTGTAGCGACCCCAGGTGGGGGGCTCATCGAGTTTCCTAGTCTCTCAGACTCCTGCGAAGCTACCATCGGTATCTGTGATCGCAGTGTCTCTGGGACGATACGGGCGAGACGCTCCAAATGTCGCTGTTCTTGTGGTACGAGTCCCATATCCGTGTAAAGTGGTCTTTGCAGGAGTGTGAGGGATGGCTTATCACGCTCAAGCACGAGGTTGAGGTCAATGTCCGTATCGAGCAGTGCGGCGTCTGCTGGATTAAGGTGCGGGTTGACTTCCTCAGGCTTCCACGTGAGTCTCTCTGGCAGTCCTGCGGCCGTTGCCCGCCGCTGGAGCTCCGCGAGTCGCTCCTCCCCCTCAGCCGCCAGCCGGACCGCCGCCCCCACCTCCTCCGGCCGCAGAAGGGGGTGGGCAAGCGGGATCCGCTCCATCACCCCGGCGGCCATCGCGTCCAGCTCCGCCCCCATCACCCCCAGCGGGGCGGGGTCCCGCAGCAGCTCCGCAAAGGCCTCGGGGAGATACAGCAGCGGCGCGGCAGGGACCTGTGGGAACGGCACACGCCAGGAGAACTCATAATAGTACTGCAGCTTACAGCGGCGAATGAATTCATTGGCGGACATCTTCGGGTCAATCACAGTCACGCCGCATATAGAGGCATTCGCTCTGTTGCCCTCAACATCCGTATATGAAACCACACCATTGGGACGATGGGTGTCATCAAATGATGTAACACCATCGTCATCCATAGAAATGGGATTGAAAGACATTATTTTCTTTTTTTTTTTTAAGAGAGAAACAAAAAAAAGGAATCGCTACTGCTTAACCCGTCTCTAACTCCTTCGTTCTTTCTCTATTGTTTTTGTATTAAGAAGAAACCCTTTTCGTTTTCTTACCTTATCAGCGCAAAGCTTTCTCTAGATACTCCTCTATCCGATGAGTTTCGTTATGACTGCTATGCACACCACACCCCTCCACCGTTGCGATGATACCAGAAACCACGCCTCTATAAGACAGGCAATGATATCTTCGCACCTGAATTTAACTGAAAGAGAAAAGGAAGAAAAAAAAAAAAAACAGCAAAAAAAAAAAATCAAACTTCAAAAGCAAGATAAAGAAGAAGAATCTCATAACAAGAATAGGAAATAAAAGAAGTATACTCATTCACCAAAACCGTAGAGAAAGAGTGAAAGAAAGAAAAAAAAAAAGACAATGAGAAAAAAGAGAGAGCCAGAGACACATGTTCTTTTTTTTTTTCTTTACTTTACCATAGAAAGAAAAGAAAAAAATATTTTCATTCTTCGTCCACTCTTTTATTTCCTTTGACATTGCCTCTTTTTTCCGTTTTTTTTTTTCTTCTTTCGGCCATTTATCAGATCTGGTTTCCATCACCACGCTGCCCGCTACATACAGTCATCTTTTCATCCTTAGGAAACAGAGTGCAGACAAAAGAGGGAGGAATGGCGCAAAAACAAAAATAATGCAAAAACATAAGCTTCCACAAAATATAATTTATACATATATGGCAAGAAGAACCATTTCCTTCGTTTTCCCTTTGACTCATTTTCCAAAAAAAAAAAAAAGTACTTATTTGACATGGCCACGATTCCCATTGCTTCGGCTGCGCAGTCCAGATGCATTTCCGATGCTCCGGCTACGAATAGGAGCAGAGGGGGCGAGTTTCATCTTCTTCACTGTCGGTTTGGCCTTCTTCTTTTCGGTTGGTTCTGGTTTGAGAGAGACCTCGTCCAAACGTTTTTGGAATAATTTTATGCACTCAGCACGTGCCTCCTCATCAGTGGCAAATGGAAGCCACTCAATACGTTCTGGTACCATTACTGTACCATTATGAAAAGGAGCCTGTTGAACTGAGAAACTGTCCACATTCTGCAGGAGATAATCCAATAATTTAGGCATAGCAGCACGAAGTGCGAGGAAAAGAGGTGTAACATGATTATCATCCTCCACTTCTGCATCGTGGCCCATCTCAATAAAACGCATGGCATAATCTTCACGATTATTCAAGATAGCATAATGCAAATGTGTTCTACCATCTTTGTCTTGATAGTCCAAACGCAATTGTTGCGGTTTTACACCAGACAGCATAGCCTCCATAGCTTCATCATTCTTCATTTCTATAGCGTACATTAAACTTGTTGTGTTTTCTTTATTCTTTGCCGTTGGGGAAGCGCCAAGCTTAATAAGCAATTTAAGCATTGGCAAATATTTTTCACCTAGCGCTACACACCAGTGAAGCGCTGTTTGTCCATCTGTGTGTTTATGGTGTTCACCCATCTCATCAACAGCATAATCATCACAATCATTCACCATAATTTCAACATTACGGCCACGATCCTTTGCTCCTTCCAAAACAACTTCCACAAGCTCCTCATTATTTGCAAGAACAGCAAGATGCAGAGGTTTGTGTCCATGCCATGAACCAAAGGAATCAGACAAGGGGGCAAGGAATTTCGCCGTATCCACCTGACCGTACTTGCAAGCTAAATGCAGCGCAGTACAACCAAACTTATTCATAATACCAGGATCGACACCCTGCTCCACCAGACGCTTTACTTCCTCTGTCTGTCCTTTTCGTGCCCCGCAATGAATTTTTTCCATATTCTCATCATCTATCTTAACTCTCGGAAGTTTCGGAAAATCAGCCATCTTATCCAACCAATAGTATAAACTAACCTTCTATAACCCTACACAAAAGCTATGAGACACGTCCTTCTTCTTATTTACAAACAAAAATACTAGAAAACT